CCCCCCAGACCCATCGGGGCCTTTGTGAGTGGGGCAGGGGCGCCGGGTGCCGCCCGTCCAGGGTGACCCAGGGCGGCCAGGGCCGCCGGCCAACCTGACCACTCTGCCGCGGGGCCTCCGCCGGGCGGCTGCTGCAGGGCCGCGGCCTCTCGGCTCTGTCCAGGGAGACAAGTGAGGCGGTGGCCAGGGCGCCGCTCCCAGGGCAGGAATGTGTGGGTGGACCCTGCCCGCCAGGGAGGGGCGGGAGCCGCCGGCACCAGGCGCGGGCGCAGGCGGGCATCAGGCCTCCTCCGGCCCCCCGCCCCTCCCTGGCGGGGAAACTGGGCTCGCAGCCCGGCCAGAGCTGACCGGGAGGCCCGCAGGCCGGCAGGCCGAGTGGCTGTGGGGGACTCCGAGCGGGTCCGCTCACCGCCGCGGGGACAGCACAGGCTGCGGCGCTCGTGGGGGGGCCAGGCTGGACGCTGTTGAGGACAAGCCCAGCCGAGATCCAAGGCGCCCGTCAGTGACACCGGGAGGACTGAGGGCACATCACAGGCCACGAGGCTGGGGTCGGCTGCCGGCAGATGGCCGTGAGCACATGGACACACCAACCAGACCCCCGGCTGCCGGGGGCCTCCTGGCGCCCTGGAGCTGCGGGAGGAGGCCGCGCTGCCGAGCCCGGGATGGGCGCGAGGGCCACAGCCTGAGTGACCCGCAGGGCCCCCAGGGGCCCCCAGGGACTGCCCGCCCCTGCAGGGCCCGGCCGGGCCCACACTAGGGACCTGATGTCGCAGCTGTTCTTTGAGAAAGAACAAGTGAGACCCACAACTAACGGGGAGAAGCAGTAAGAATGGAAAGAAACAGATTCTGAAAGATCAACCAGGCCAAACCGGCTGTTCCAGAAGGCGAAGGCCACCAGGGGTGGGGGGGCACAGGGGGCGGGGGGTGGGCGGCTGACTTCGGGGTCCTGGGGTCCTCCGTTCTGTGCGCTTGGCCCAGGCGTCTTGAGCCGATACCACGTTCTGTCCTGTTTCTTTTTTCTTCTTCATACAAGACCTGGGTGCAGCCCAGAGGTGGGGGTGAGAGGGTACCCCAAGACAGTGGGGAGCAGAGCTGGCAGATCCACTGAGACGCGCTGCTGAGGGACCGCGGGGAGACGGGTGTCTGCTGTGCCGTGGCATCAGCTCTGGCGGGGGTGGCCTGGCCACGTGGGTGCCCGCCTGAGACCCTGGACCTGGGAGCCCCCGGGGCGTCTGTCCCTCGCCGGGCGGCAACATCAGTGGGGTGCGTGTCGGGGGGCCGAGGCTGGGGAGGAGGCAGCCGGCGTTCACTTGCACACGAGGCAGCTCTGGAGGGGACCCTTGTTCTGGGGATCCCGCCGTCAGGCTCAGGGAAACGAACACAACATTACTACTTTTTTAGTGGGTGACTGGATTAAAACGACGTGGTCGATACGCCGTGGGCTATTACGCAGCCATCAAAAGGATGGGCGGTGCCTTCGGCGGCGGCACGGACGGAGCTGAGTGCAGTAAGCCGGAAACAAGAGGGGAAATGCCGGGTGGTTTCTCTCTCGTAGCAGGAGCGTGGTGGACCGGGGGGACAATAACGAGCAGCCATGACCAGGGCCCTGCGCTGGCTGGGACCGGCCGGGGAGCGCACGGGGCTACGGTGACGGCTCACGGGTGATTTGGCGGTGGGAAGCCACGGGGATGACACCTGCGGTGGAAAAGGGCGCGACATGCTGTAAAAATAAACATATTGTTAAAAATTACTACTTAAACAATTACTTATTGGTGCTAACACAACTGGGCTCGGGCCAGGGGCGCAGGCGCGAGCGGACTGCGCAGGGGCAGCGGGAGCAGCACCGGCGGGCGGC